TAATAATACATTAAACTGATTATTAATTTATTGATAATTTATTGAATATTAGATTTAATTGTTGTTAACATTTATTGTCGTATAAAAACATCAAACTTCTAGTTCTTATATATTGTCATTCATTGTCTCATTTACAGTAATAAAAGTGTGATATAATGAAATACATAATAGTTTTGTTAGCTTTGTGTACAATTTGTGTGACATATGGTGAACAGGACTCCAGTAATTCCCGCAAAGGTTCCAATAAGAAGGACTATAAGTTTAAGGAGAAGGATCTCAAACAGGCAAAGGCCCGGTGGATAAGCCTTCAGGACGAGGACTGGGGCGACGATATGATGCAGAAACCCATTGATGAACCGCCGCGAAGGGTAGGCCTTATATATTATTTGATATGTACTATATTTATTAAAACATAATTAAAAATATTCTTATTGTATGATAGGCAAGTATAGTGCCATTTAAGTATGGTAATTAATTCCAATTAAGTATTGTATTTAAGCCTTAAAACATTCTTTATGCAATCTTAAAGAATTTAAATTTTTTTATCTTAATTACCATATAGTGTACCTTATGATATACTTTACTAATAGTAGAGAATTTTTGTATTGTGTAGTTAGCTGGAATATAATACATGATTTAATGTACAGTATATGATTTAATTTTTTTATGAATGTCTGACAATTGATGATAATGTTTGTGTTTTGTAGACCAACCGAGAATTGGGTGAAATGTGTACGTATTCGCGGGACTGTGAGTCGGGCTGTTGTCTTCTGGACAGGTCTAGCAAACTGCGGTCGTGTCAGCCCAGGGCTGTGAGGGGCGAGAAGTGCTCCAATGCACAGATTAAGGCAGACATCTATGTGGATGCCTGTCCATGTGTTAGTGGATACAGTAAGTCTATTACCACTACTAATCTATTCAATCACTTTTTTATGCTATTCAAAAGTCGTTGTTTACAGACAATACCTTTATCATTTTTATTATTCTTTTAGAGTAATTATTCTAAATACTAAGCTGGTACTTTTTTAAAAATTAAAATATGTCATGTAATTTATTATAGCAACTTATTGACATAATAGCCGATTAAAATAAAATAATATTATTTATAAAAATTAAACTATTAACAAATAAAAGCCTTAATAATGAATATTAACTAAAATACATTTCTTTAAACAGTGTAATACTGTAAGTCTTATGAAGTGTAAATCATTTAAACAGAATACGGTATTTACTTGATTTGCATTAAATGTGTGATTTTTAATTGTCCAATTAGTATTAATATTTTTCCACATTATTTGACTTTTGTAACAAAACATATCTCTGTCTCGTAGTATTTTAAATGAGATGAGACTAGATTAATAAAATATGTTCACAATTTTAATGTATTGTAATAAATTTGAATGTGAGAAGAGATTATGAGGTTAACGTATTGTCAAAAGGGCCGATACTATTGTTTTATTCAATTTGTTAGATGCCTGAGCTTTTAGACCACCCAACAGTCATACTGTTTAACACTGTATTTAGTAGTATTTTCGAATATATTGTACTGTAGTTTAAACTTTAAAGGTTCCGGAACTTTGATCCAAAATAAATACAATATAATAGGTATTCGATTGTCTGGATATGTCTCATGAAATGTTTTCAGTCAATGTCCTACTAATACCAATACAATAGCTAGAACTACATATACAGTTGTAGTTACTGAATATTATTAACACTAGTTTAATAATTAATGATACCTTATAAATATAATATACTACAAATCTACATTCAACAGTATTCTACCATTATGCCTGTAAATACCTACTGATGATGCCTGATAGGCATTGCCTATAGAAAGCTTTTTAAATTAGTTAAATTCAGTTTCTTTACCCTTATTATTAGTTATAAATAATATAATAGTTATTCATTGTATTTGTTTTTTCAGATTTTTGTAACTTTCCATCAGAAATATGTACGAAATAAATGGATTCATAAATGGAAGTGGATTAATTTAGAAATAAATATTTTGGTGCAACTAATTATTACAACTTTTACAATATTATTATTATGTTTACTTCTAAATGATAATAATTATAATAAACTGCCACTTATTCTACAAATATTTTTGTAAACTTATAAATATTTCTGTTTATTGAATAATTGATTGACTAGACCTGGATTAATGTAAATACATTTTTTATGTGAATTTTATGTTTTGTCGTCTAATTTATGGAATTGTAATAATCACGAGACAAATGTGGTTTTGACACATTATCAAGTGTTTACTTTTTATAATTATCCATTTTTGTATTTACTCATACATTACCTATTTTGCAATAAAAATATTTACTTCTAATTAAGTTAATTTATATTATTTTTTGTTTTTTAAAAATTTTTATCACATTTAAGGATTAAAGTATTTTTTCTAACACTAATATAGTATATTAGTTTATATTATATAATTATAAATGTGTAGTCAAGTCTTAACTAATTAATAAAAATATTGTGGTTTCTATACTGATCAATCAATAAGTGTTATTTTACTTTTAATCCTTTATTGGTATATTATAATTTCTACTATTTTATGTACACTAACTTGTCAACTGTATCACCTCATAATGTATATGCAATTTAGTTTGTTGCATTATTTAAATTGTAATAATTTGGAATATAATAATACTACTGTATAAAAGAATATATGACATTTATATACGGTATTACTGTACTATGTTATGTTGACAATATTTTATTTATAAATTTATTTAGGTGAATTAGTGTTTGCGCTATATATGTATTAATCTCTAACATAATATGGTAAGCATTTACAATAAGTTAAAAAGATATTTCATTCAAAGACACAATTTTGTTGTAATACAAGTACTACACCTATGTACTATTACTAATACTCACTAATTATGGTTTTTAATTATTATTAAAAATAAATATTTTATAAAAAGACATTTTATCACATTTGGTATTAATGTGAATATCTTCATAAGAAGTGAAGATATGAATCCTTTAATCCTTAAACACATAGTATTTCAAATTGGTTTATTTATTACGAATGGTATTCATTTAAATTTATATTTCCAATTAAAAAGAAATATTTTCATTATTAATGAATTATTAATAAATAAAACAAATAAAACCAAAATTTGAAATGAATTATAGTTTATATAGAATTTGTGTACAGTATTCAGGGCTTCACAAACACTGTAAACACTGCATGTGATTGATAGTGGGATTGACGGATGATTTGGGATTATAATCGTATGTCTCTCTCTCTCTCTCTCTCTCTCTCTCTCTCTCTCGTCATATCCAATGTCTGTCTGTTATCTTATAGACAGAGCTCTCTTAATAATACTCGTAATTAATAAAGTCTCCAAACAATTGTCTCCAATACTAAAGTCGTTGAGATGCCGGCGCGTCGACAGTCTGTGCTGCCAATGGTTTTAATGGCTCATAATATGCACAGTATTTATTTAGGTATGGCTTTTATGAACCCCTACCTAATAGATAGGTATACTGAATGCTACGAAATACCTGTGCGACAGTTTAGGCGCGACAGTTGACTATTAGTTTTTGATATAAAACTTTTCAGTTAAAAGTATCTCTCGACTGTTGAGTCTTGACTCCTAAAAACAAGTTATATCTCAATATATTTATTGGTGGAAAAAACTTTTTAACCACAAAAAAGTGTAGCAAAAGTTTTGGGTATTTCATACTGTCATCTGATCTGTGAGCTAACAGTGCTCTCACCTGTCCTTTTATTCCTGTCCTAATATAAAACATCATCAAACCGAGTGCTCCTCATACATGCAAACATACCTGTGCTGTTAGACACTAAACTGTAATATCAATGACTGGTTAACCATTGATACGACTGCACTGAAAACAGTAATTGGTTTATGTATTTGTGTGAAAAGGCTTTTATCGCAAAAAATAAGCTTAAGTTTAAGTGTTTTGTCGCTCATCTCTTGGAGCCGATCCCCCAATCAAAGGCTTATTAGAGGTTTTATGCCATTACTTGTACCGTGAAGTTCACCACAAAGATATAAAACACATTTTCCCACAACTCATCGACAAAAGTACTCAAAAAGATTCTCAATTTGTGTTTCACTGATAATTGGCTTTTGTTTTTTCAAACGTAAGCACAATTTATATAACAGTATTGTGAAGTGAACAAAGTTTTTTTGACATTATATTT